GACAGAACAAAATCCATTGGTGGATTTACACTTTTAATAAGTATTTAACAGTAAAACAGAAAACACTCCCTTTGTGTTCTCCTCTAAAGCCCAGCCAATTAACTTCAGGAGTTTTGTTAATTTATACAGAACCAGTACAAAGAGCTCTGCAGAGACATTCAGGGTAACTTAAGTCAGCTCTGTTTCACATCATTATCCTTTCTGCACTCCAATTATTTCAATTTCTATTATGAATAGATGAATAGAAACACCCAGCTCTTGACATCCTCATCATTTAACTGTGTCCTCTCACATCAATGTGTACCGGTGAATGTATGAGCCAGGCTCTTTTGCTCATAGGGAAGGTTGAGTTCACTTGGATGCATCACCCCTGTGAACCTTGGTATGCGGTGTATGAATATGTAAAACTGATTTAATAAGAGAAAGTTTGTCGCTGCCAGAAGGGGAGAGAACAGAGACAGAATCAAAAGTATTAAAAAGAACTATATTGACAGGCTAGATGAGATGATATTATATATGTTTGCGTTCAGGAGCTCACTGTTTTCCTCATTCAGCGGTCACTGCATGTGTGTGGGTGCATGTTGGCTTTTATGTGGTTACTCACCCTCATAAGACTGAAAGATGATGGGTTCAAGGAGTTCCTGGTATTCTTTGACCTGGGCCCTATTGCCTCTGAAGACCCCTACACACACACACACACACACAGATTATAAAACATTGAAAATGCTTTTTCACATCTAACTGTTAACTGCATCAGTCAGGCAAAGTGACCCTAATAAAATCGTTTTACAATACTGAGAAATCGTGAGGCACCGTCAATAAAAATCTTCCTAGGTATACAAGATTTTTTTAAGAGCATTTCATTGTAAAGGCTTGTTGGTTATTGATGTATCCGTCTGGATCAGTTTAACTGCCTTTTCTCTTTTGAGCAGAGCCAATAAAGATGAATAGCTTCATATAGAGCAACAGGCCATGCAGGTTGTCTGTTAGTCTTAAGAAAAATCTGTGGCATATAAAGAGGCAAAGGGGCTATTAGATTAAAAATAAGGAAGAAAGAAATGCTTAGGAAAAACTAGAGTCTGTCACAGTCTGGCGAGGGCAGACTGTAGGGGTTGACAAAAGGACCCAAAACGCAGACTCCAAGGAACAGGGAACAGAACTTGAAATGTTAACAAAAAGCGAGCCGTTTAATATGGCTGGTAAAAAAGGTACAAACAAAGGGCAAACTGAAGCAAAATTAACACAAACTGGGAAATCTAAACAAACAATAAGAAAAACCTAGACAAGAAACTTGGAAGCATGGCATGGCATAGGAAACATGGCGTGGACAACAGACGACCTGACAATGACACACTGAAAACAGAGGACTTAAATACACAGGAGGTGATTAGGGGAAGTGGGAACACATGGAGGAACAGCTGACTGACATGAGCCTAATGACAGGACAAGGGAAGTGAAACTAAATACAATGAACGAAGAACACACAACTCTTTCAAAATAAAACAGGAAACATGAGGCAGACATGATAATACAAACTTGATAACATAAGACACGCAGCATGAAACACAAAGGGTGAGGGAAACTAATAGGAGTCTAATAACCAAATGAACTTCGCTAATCTAATGAACTTAAACATAAACAACATCCAAATAAACTAAAACTTAAAACGCTGGGTTTTGAGTCTTTCATTTATTTCTGACCATTTACTTTGGTTCACTAACAAATTAAAAAAAAAAAAAAGAAGAAGGTCACATCTTTTAAAAGTGTGTATCCATGTCCTCTAAAACCAGAGAAAAATGTAATTTCCTGTAAAACGCTATAAGTCTGTCTTATAACATGGCAATGACCCACTTGAGGCACCATAACAGCAGCAATGGATGGAACAAGGCTTACCGTCAATCATCATGTAGATGAAAAATATGGGAAACTCGCACTCGATCCCATCAAAAAGCTGGAGAAAGACAGAGAGAGGAGGAGAGGGGAGGAATTATTGCTTTTTCGTTTCACAAAGAGAAGAGAGGCGCAGGAGCTTTAAAGCTGAATTTGAGCAGCACTGAATATGGAACAGTATGGCACAGAGAAAAAATATAAATGATGTGACATTCTGAATGAAACCTGTCAGTATAGAGAGAAATATTACTGATTCTTTACAAGGTCATTTTTTTTCTAATTCAAAAACTTGGCTGTTTGTTTTGAGGAGGACATCTAAGGTGTGAAAGTTAAGTATGTTTACGATAGACAGACACATAGATGGAAGAACACAGAAAGTCTGAGTTTAGTTTTACTGAAGACTCAGTGTCACTTCTCTATCACCGAATAATCAAAATCTTGGCTTTCAGTCTTTTACAACCCAACATGAAATAAGGTATTATTTGTAACCTAGCAACAACAAACACTTAAGAGCAGTGCTCAGAAAATGACATCTCGGACTCTGTGGCAAAAACACTGCCATGTTGCCTGTGAACTCAGACCTTCAATATCAAAGATTTGTCCGATTTCACTCAGTATAACAAAGACAAGAGAATTACAATGTACGTTTAACAATATAAATACCTACTCGCTGTGTGCTTAAGTAAAAAAAAAGACATTGTTGCCTTTTAGTTCTGGTCCAGTTCTTCTTGACATTTTAGAATGTGAGGTTCACAGTAGTTTTATATAACCTAAAGGTGAAAGTATAAAGTCCAAACAAAAATCCAATCAATAAACTATACCATGTGTTACAAATGGGACAGCAAGCTATCATACATAATTAGTCAGGCCACAAATAAGCTTCAATATACCCTTTAAGGTATTTATTCAAGTTTCTGAAAGCTTGTTAGAGGCATGTTCTTCCAAAACATTTTCCCTTCTTGGATGTTTTAATGATGGTGGTGGAAACTGATCTGGTGACTGTGAAGGCCATAACGCGTGATACTCAAATTCATTGTAGTTCAATGACCACTCCCATCATGACAGAACCGCTCCATCACAGAAGAAAGGTGATTTTGCAGTGACCCTTCCCTCTAAAAGGTCAAGTGGAGCCAAAATGCATCAGCACAATGTCACCACAGCATAACTGAGCCACCACAATAGTTGACCAAGTGTTAAGGGTTTTGCCTCTAATCCTATAATTTCTTTTAATTCATACTATTTATAAATATGGGAGCTTTGGCTCACATTAAACACATGAATTTTATAGTAGATAGTTCTGCTTGTGTTTTCATACTAAATCACAAATCAGAATCCTTTGACTGATTCACTTTCTCACGCCAGACATGCAGCAGACTGCTTGGTTGTGGTCCAGCTGTTTAGTGTGCAACAACGTTTGATTGACAGCTCTCATGTTGCCTGGAACAGACCAACCCAAGTCATTTCAGTAAGATGTTCGGCTTCCTTTAGCCTCCAAAACAACTTCAAAACCCTCGGCACACATTTGTCTAATTTAAGATGAACATAATTTTTTCTAAAAGATTAACTCAGTTGCTGTTTTGACAAATCCACTGCAAAATGTAACCCATGCCTCTTCCCACAAGTAAGAACTAGTGACTTTGTAGGCCATGGCATATGATTTCTATCATTTTTTTATACTTATCAAACCATTCAGTGTTTTTCCCTCCTTGCTTCCCCTTATTTGGCCAATTTATTCAGTTTTTTTATTTTATTTAATTAAACCTGTCAGCTCATAAACACATTGCTGTCAAATGAATGTGAATAAATCAAAAGCACCAAGTGGCAGCAGCTAGACAAAAGTTCCCCAAATAAACACTTGGATTGACACCATCACTTCCTGGATTTTTCTCTGAATCTTGCACACTTCATCTACTGCATTTGCACTGTATCTTACACAAGCACCCATGCACAAACAAACGAACAAAAGTCTTAAGCCATTCAATTACAAGTCACATTTACAATAGACAATAAAGCTAAGCAGACAATTATTCACTCTAGTAATTCAGTGCTTAATTAAAGAGGATCAACTGAAAACACAATAACCCACCTTTAGTCAACAAATTTGGATAAACACTAAAAATAATAAAGGTCAGTTTGCAAAAAGATCAAACAACCTGCAGAATTTTATTAGCCTCTTTAAAAAAATCCATCCATACAAAATGCATGTGTGCATATGTCCGTGTGCGTGTGTCTGCATTTTAGTCCCTCTATCTATAAAAGTAATTAGTTCTGACTATCTTTGTACCTCATCTTTTTCAATAATCTCTGCGCTGATGGAAGATAACAGAGACATCCTAATGCAATAACAAATGGCTGGCTGAGCTGGCACACATGCTCACACAAACACACTTAGAAGGTGCTTTTCACTGAGCGGATACTCATGTCTGTATTAATGTGCTTCTTTAAATGTCGGCACTCTGTGATTATGTAGATCTGCAGGTCTCGAGGTGTATATTTCACCAAAGACGGGAAGCAATAGCAGCTATCAGGTGGTTATAGAGAGGAAGGAAAAAAGAAACGCAAGTGCATAAAGAGATAGAGAAGCAGGGGAGGGGTGTGTTTGGTGGCGAGGGGGGAGAGAGTACGAGAGAACAGGAGAGCTGAGGCAGTCACCCAGTGAGGCCTGTGCCTTTTGGCCCGTTGAGGCTGTAAACAGACAGGGATCCCTGGTGTTTTGTGCTTGAGCAGCTCGACTGATTGGTAAAACTGTCTATCACACAGGCTGCTGCCGCTGCTCTCTGTCAATGGTAAACAGACAGGGAGCACAGACGTCTGCCCTGCTGTGAATTCTCTCTTAAACACCAACAACAACTTTAGTCAATGTCTTCTGCAGGGGAACCCGGCCTACCTGTGATTTCTTTCCTCCAGATAAAACGCAAACTGTGTCAGACACACTCAAAGCATTTCATTTTGTTGTGAGGTGGCTTATGACTCAAAAGAGGTAACGTTTTACTTACAGTATTGCTTTCCGACTATATTTGTAACGCTATTAATCAGCGAGGATTCTGAAACTGGCAAATCGCTTTTTTTAATTCATTAATTTAAAAAATTAATGAATTGAAAAAATTAATTGGGTTTTTACATTATGAAACAGTAACTGGCCAGAGTGTCTCCCACAACAAATCTGACTGCCTGCTGGTCGAACTAAGGGCAGGACGGAGCCTGAAGGAACTGAAGCATTAAACATTGTTTGATAATTCTTAGAGTCTTTAGAGTCTTTGTATCCTATTAGCCGCAGGATTAAACAAAGCTCATTTCAAAGTGGTTCAGAGTTGGAGCCCCATGAGTGCCCACTCTGACATATCAAGCAAGCACTTCCATCACCAGTGCCTTTTTAAATCTTATTTTCTCAGCCTCACCTTTCAGACAGAAAAGTCACCTTTTGTCACTACAAAGTGATGACTATCCTTTTTAATGAATCGTGAATGTAATTAAGGAATCATATTACTGTCAGGTGACTCTTTCATTACATACAACCCTAATAGGTACAACTGATTAGGCCTTTTGAAACAGTCAGTTAGTGTTTCACTGCCAAACAGAAACTCCAGCATCTGTGTCTAAACTCACAGATCTCTGCTTTCTTAGCTAACGCCTCTCTGAGCTCATTAATTCTAGCAGGCTAGCTCTCCAGGTAAAGTAATGATTTGTTTAGTATTAAGAGTCCAGCCTGCGATTCACTCATGGTATGCTTCTAAAGTGACTGCACTGTCATTTGGCTAGGATCACAGGGAATTCACTAAAGGACAATGAATGCCCAGCCATTCACACAGGTGTATATGCATGAGCATACACACTGATAACGAACAACTCAGCCGCATACCCAGCGCACCCACACACATGCACGCTAAGATTTAGGGTGAAATACCTGGGGGATTAGGACGCGTGGAATGGGAGAGGCTAAGTCGCAGGCAGATCTCTTAGCATTATCATAAAAGGATGAAACCTTTGGAGGATTATGAATTTCGAAAACTTTTGAAATGTCAAGCACTTTCAAGCTGAACTTTTCCACATGTTATGCATTGCTAGCTGTGCTTCTCAGGTTTAGCATGTGGTTACTGGCAATTGAGTTCAACTCAGTTATATAAAACCGAGATTTTACACGCACACACACACATACACTCGTCATTTTGTTCAGCTGCTAAATTGCTCACTAATGAAAATAGCTAATCAGCCAATCACATGGCAGTAATGCAACACAATTAGGCATCCTGCAGCTCAAACTGAGCATCTGTATGGGGAAGAATGATGATGTAAGTGATTCTGAACGTGGCATGGTTTTTGGTGCCAGATGGGCTGGCCTAAGACTTTCAGAAACTGCTGATGTACATCTCCATGATTTACAGAGAGTGTTCCAAAAAGAGAAGAAATATTGCATATACATCAGTTCTCTGGGGGAAAAAATGCCTTGCTGATGCCAGAAGTCGGAGGTGAATGACCAAACGAATTAGAGCTAACAATAAGACAACAGTAACTCAATTGCTTGTTATAGTCAAGGTATGCTCCTTAAGGTTCAATTCAAACTGGACTGTGTACCTAATAAAGTATCATCCTTTAATACTGTGAATAATTAGCTGCTGTGGAACATGTGAGGCAGATTAAACAGAGGTGATAAGAACAGCGCAGACAATTTTAAAAGAGATAAAAATAATAGAAAGGAGGTAAAACGAAAAAAGAAAAAGCAAAAAGAGATTAGGAATAACAAAAGAGAAAACTACTAAAGAAAATACTCAACAAAAATCACAAACCATGACAAAAGGACTAGAAGCTGTCACCACACTGGACCACAATATATTTATGTAGAGTTTATAGAGCATTCGATGTATTTCTAAAATGTCACTGCTCGTAAATCTCTAACTGATCATTTTCTTTAATGGAAAGTCGGGTTAATTTTTTTTAAATCCATTTACTAGATTTGAAGCATATTATTCACAGATATAATTTTTATTTCAACTGCTACGCTAATGACCATCTTATTAAACCTGGAACAACAAGAAACATTTTGGATCACATTATCTTCTTTAGGAATATAGTCCATAATTTCTTCTTTGCATTGGCAAAATACAAATGAGCTATTTAAAATGAAACAAAAACTGTGGCTTTAATCCAAAGAAGAACAGAATATAGAGAGAAAACACGAGTACAAACCTTCATTTCAGCAGGTTTGTAGTAGCGGCGATTCTTGTCTTCGTTCGCGGTGCGGTAGCCGTCACGGAGGAAACGCTTGAAGCCATATTTGCCACGGAGCTTGCGGACAATCTTGTCAAGTGTCTGAGAGTAAAGAGCATCATCATCAACAGCAAACGCAGGATAGCTGATGGTTGGAAGTAAAGCTGCATCTGTGTTCTGCCGGAGACAAACAAAAAAAAAAAAAAGATTTACAACAATTATGTACTACATGAAAAGTTTTTGCCACATTTGCTATATATAGTACATATTTCCAGACTGATATTTTTACTTCATTT